TGCCTTAACAGTCCTAGTATATTATTTGTAAATTACATTTTCAAAATTGATTTGTCTTAAATGAGAAATATGTAAGCAACAATACAATCCAAGTGGTTTACATCTCCTTTGCATGCCTAACATATGTAACATTATTCGGTAGCAAAACAATGCGTGATTTGATTCAACTAACAGCGAAAGTCATCCAAGAAGATGCATTGCTTTGGGACACTTCCTCGATATAGAGATGGCAACTTTGAGTGATTTGTGTCCGTAGAATACAAACTAATATTATATTGATTGAATTTGATTGAGGACCTCGTTACGTTCTCTGTAGAGATATGATTTGAAATGTTAATTGACGTAACATGTAAATTAAGCTTAAGAGACAGTGTGAGTCTCTCTGTTAACCGATAGAATGTGTTTGTTTAACGTTTTCGGGATTATTTGGGGGGGTTATTCATTGAGTTAACAGTTAACAGACTGCACGTTTTCAGATTTTAAAGTTTCAAATACCCTCTAAATAAAAATTGCGGGACAAACAGCCCGTTGAAATCAAAACAATCAAGCTTGTATTTACAGAGTGTATTTTTCAAAATCAAAATGTAGCGAAAGGTCACACGCTGTGACTGAACTGTAGTGCACGTTCAATAGTGTAAAATACTTTATTTTCGCTTGGAATTAATTTTCGTTATTTTCGCTGAAGAAATGATGCAGTGAAAATAAAATCCAGCAAATATACCTTTTTTCCCATATTTTACATTCAACTTGTCAAAAATCAATTAAAAAATAAATTCCATACAAAACACCCCAAAAGTCTTTTCAGTGAAAATTAATTCCAGCTAAAATAAAGTATTTTACAGTAACCTAAAAGTTCATTTACAGGATGTTACACTATTGTGATTACTAAAGTGGCATAAATCTGTTATAAAGTCAGATTACTCTATACGCTACATGTGAAATCATTGAAGATGGCTGTCCCCTGTATGTCAAATGTCAACAATCAACTCACTTTTGAAAGGTGATTGAACAATTACTGCTGAGAAGACTTCATTTTTCGAATATTTAGACTAACTTTTGGCCAATTGTTACGGCCTATGATATTGACAATACGTAATTTAAGATTCAATTGTTAATACTTTCCTTTGATATATGCAACTTATGCTTGATAACAAACTAAATTGAGCTGGTAAAATAATTTTTGAGGGAGCTTGCCCCGTGCAAATTTACAGGCAGATTAGTAAATATAAAACAAATTATGCGTAGAGCTTGGTCGTAATTTAAGACTATTTGTGGGGATAAAACATTTATTACGAAACTTACTGCCTTATTGCGTTCGAAAGAACGACGATTACCATAGTGCGGAAAAATAACAATAATAACAAAATGCGAATGATGACGTTCCTAACAACAGTGCCATTTCAATGTTACTTCTTACGTTAATAGCAGTCGTAAGGCGCTATTTATTGCCCCGTAAATGAATTTAATTGCAATAGTAGTTCCGTAAACAACCCCGATGCATTCTGGTAGATATTATAATGGGTTGCAAGTTTCTATCGATTCATAGAAGATTTTTGTTTAAACAATATTGACTGACTGTTTCAAACTCAGTTGTATCTACAATATATATATATATATATAAATATTTTCATCGACTGCATCTGTTTTCATGAGTTGGGATAGTTATAATCATCGAGGTATATTTTGTACAAACACACTCCCTTCTCCTACGAATCCCAGCAATGTAAACATCTCGGGCCGACATCACATCGCTTTGATTGGCATGCCGGGCAGGATGCAATTAAGTTTGTTCTTTTCTTTTTTCGTGAAAAAAAAATCGATTTCACTTCTCAACGCTCTGAAAAGTTAATAACTGTCTCATCAAACAAACATAGCTTAGATAACAGAGATCGAAGACATGCGAATTAGGTTACTTGTTTAACAACCCGTTTCCAAGGAAACAAAAACACTGGACGGATATGTGATCTGAAGTTTCAGTTAACTATGTGAGTGCAATGTCATATCAAACAACGCATATAATGACGCATACATATTTAATGCATGGTTTTAAATCTTTCAATTGAGTCTCATAAATGTAATAACCCAATGCATGACGTAACCAAAGAAAAGGCCGCTATCTGAATACATGTCAATTACCAGACTGCGGCGTGTTGCTTATCGCATATGTTTAACCTGACAACATCGGTAACAAATCAACTGCAAACTGGTTCAGGACAGCTGCATGCATGAAAACCTTTTCTCCCCAAATATTACATTAGTTATGAGTATAACACTTTGGATTCGGTAACAAACACGGAAATTCGACAAAAATACATTATAAAACCTTTTATCTTAGGGACACAGGGTTGCAGATAATATTTCTTGAGACAACACAGTGTCTTAGGGTTTGATTTGTGTACGGAATTACCTGGCTAAATTAGTCCTAATTAGGGCTTCCTTACTTTTCACATGTTTCTCAATATAGGGTTGTGGTATATTGAGTTATCTCCTTATACAATGTCATCCTGTCCGTCACTGAACTCGTTGAACGCAAGTACGTAACTGGCGCATTTACACCACGCGATTTATTTAAATCAATCATGGAATAGTACTAACGTGACAAATTATCCCACCATACCAACCAGCGCAGAAACTTACCTGTTTCATCCAAACGCTCGTGGTCATAATCTGATTTTTCTCATCCTGGAGGAATTAAGACAAAGAAAGGAACTGATCATAATATGTACTTTAAAAAATAAATAAGAGAGTTGAAATATACAACGTGCGCAAGGGGGTATTTCGTTAAAACCGAAATATAACACTTTGAATTTATTCTCAAATCTGTATCCGAGAGTAAAACAGAACAAAAACAACACTTTATTTGAGGTTTTGTGCATTGGAAACTTATACACAATGATTTAATGCACAAAATCCCCAACTAGTTGTTTAAACAGAATGACAAAAACACCTACCACATCAAGAAGCTGGGTTATAGACAATCCAAACTTAACAGGAAGTGTGTCAGTTGGGTTGTAAACAGGTCTGACGAAGTGGTTGTAAGTACCTTCCTTAGTAAATATATGCTTATCCTTTAGAAGCATATCTTCGGGTGCAACTGGTAAATCACCTACAATATACATGAACTATAAATGTATATGACGGAATGTAATTTTTATATAAAATACAATTTTGAAGCGATTACTATATACGACGAGAAACGCACACAAGTCACATCATACTACCTAGGGATTAAAGGGCGACGCGTTGGCCGCTATTATGTGATACCCGGACAAGTGTGTGCAATATCGGACGGGACGCATTACCACTAGTAATGAGCAGTGCAGAGCCAATTATAAAACCGCGAATGGCGAACAAATTCAAAATATGTGCAACGGCATATCGAGCGTGCTGTTAGCGAACTACACGACTTTTTGCAAACATGTTTATTTTGCAAGTGAAAATGGCCAGGATATCATAGCGTCAGCGAATCATGAAGGATTTTTTTCACAAATGTGGTAAAACATTACAAATGCACGCTTAATTTGATTCCATTTCATACGTTAGTCCAATGTCACAGAACACTGCCAAGTTATCGTCTGGTGATTGAACAGCTGTGATATTGATCGACCAATGGGAATTCGCCCTTTCCGTAACGGACAGCACGTGGTATTGATCGACCAATGGGAATGCGCCCTTTCCGTAATAACATAATATAATCACGGAGCTAGCGGTATCTATAAATCAAGAACGTCGTTTTATAGAAATAGAAGTTGATTAAACAGACGACATAAGAGAGACATGAGCGAACTCTGAAATATTGCCTTATACATCAAGAACAGTTTAAATGACGTGTGACTGTTCCTAACTAATTACGTTCCCGCATAAATCTAGGTGATGTAGGTTAATCTTAATGGCAGATTAAAGGTGATTTTTCAATCACAAAACTGTCAATAAATGCTCTGAGAAGATTCACCTTTCGGATTACAAGCGATATTATGTATGTTTCAAAACATGTAGAATAATGAGGTTATCTACCGGGGAATAAGTTATCTATCGTTTCAAATGCAAAATCCCAAAACAATTCAGTGAATTTGACCTTATAATGTTAAGTGGTTACGCTTAAAGGGTCTCCTATTTATTTTAGATGTGTGGGACAATTTCAATAAGGTTAGTATAAACATTGATAATGCAGTGTGCTTAGAAATGCAATGGCAAATGCAAATACAAATGTCAAAACAGAAATGCTGGAAGGTATCATAGTTCCAATTAGAGTTATAACTTCTATGTCTGACTATTCGGCTCTGTGGAATCTAAAATACTCATGTTGATTGCTATGTGAATGCTATGTGATTTCTATGTGATTTCTATGTAATTGCTATGTGATTTCTATGTGATTGCCATGTGATTTCTATGTGATTTCCATGTAATTGCTATGTGATTTCTATGTTATTTCTTTGTGATTGCTTTGTGATTTCTATGTAATTGCTATGTGATTGATTTGTGATTGCTATGTGATTTCTATGTGATTGATTTGTGATATATTGCTATTTAATAATTTCTATGTAATTGCTATGTGATTTCTATGTGATTTTTTGTGATTGATTAGTGATTGCTATGTGCTGGCTGTGATTGCTATGTTGTTGCTATGTGATTTCCTTGTGATTGCTTTGTGATTACTATTTAATATGTATTGATTTATATGTAATTGCTGTGTGATTTTTTTGTGATTGATTTGTGATTGCTATGTGATGTTTTTGGGATTGATTTGTGACTGCTATGTTATTGCTGTGTAATTGATATGTGATTTCTATGTGATTCTATGTGTTTACGTGATGTCACACATTTTAGATCCAGGTATGTTATTGCCGCCATATATATATATATATATATATATATAAATACCAGCTTTGTGTCGGATCGAATAAACTAATGTTATGTGAATGGTGAAATTTAGCGAATACTCATAGAATACTCATAAACATTGCTGTTTATTTTCTTTCCTAGTCACTTACCAGATAGCTATCGACAATATACTTCTAATATGATTACGCCTAATCACTATTTATAAATATTTGAAAATATTACAGGTACATTGAGGGAATACGATGAGGCAGAAGATGTATAATGGGCGTCAACTGTAAACATAGAACATCAGTATATTTAGTATGTCAGCAGTGCAGCCGGCAGTCACGTTAAAATAACGTCAACTTGCGTTGGTAATTTGACTGGTGAGACTTTGCCAATCATGTATTTACTCTTTTAAACGTAATGTGCATTGTGTCAGACTATCCTTATCTAGGCTTACCTAAATTGTTCCATGCTTTCCTAACACATACTCTGATATTTGAATGACAGATGACAAGTGAACCCTTTTATTGTGATTATGTACAGACATGTCTCTGAGTGTGGACTCGTTAGTTCATCTAATATAAGTAATTTCATCTATTTAGATTTTTTCAGATATCTCACTTGGCTTCAGAAATGAAAAATGTCGTACTGATTGAAGATTGAAGACACTGATAAATCCAAAAGGACTTTGTACTGTTAAATGCCATTGCATTGAATGAATTGCGACAGAATGTATTCGATACAGAGTAACATTGTTTAAATAAAATAAAAACATAATTAAGATTTATATTCTAAAAGTTTCTTTTAGCAGTATTTGAAAAAATATTCATATTTTATAAATTCCACTCGTCAGAATATACTGAGCAAGTTTCTTGTATGTCTTTCAAGTTCTGGTGAAGCTTATGAAGCTTAATACACAACAGCAGGATTTTGATTATTAGTTCAACAATACACAAGTTTAAGTTAATTATAATTTGGGTCTTTTGAGAAATGTTAATGTTAATGTCAATTGATTTTCGAAAATAGTTATTAAAGCAACTGTTTCTGGCGACTGCATTGAAATATTTATTTGTAAGATCATCACACCTTAAACAGTGTCTAATTACAAGCATAAAAACACCATTATTTTTTCAGTAATATCTCCAGAGCATGGGATGAGTGGGAGATATATAACTAGGATAACATTCTTAACAATTTTATTAGAGATGTTACGTTGCTTGGAGACCGCAGATTTGATACTGCATATAGTGTTGGTCATTACTCAGCGACATTAATAAACATTTACTGAAGGAAAAACAGTTCTTTAGTACAAGGAAAATTGCTCATTATAGAGATACATACAAAAATAGAAAAAAAAATGTTGAATATGTAATACGGAGAAATAGAAACTCCCAACAGGGATGATGTCGATTTACCGGCAGTTTTTACTAATGTATTCGTTTTTCTGGTGAAAATTAACATAATGTATCTTTTTATGCGAATAAATGTGTTTTCCTTGATTAATTATATGATTTCTAAAATTGTTTTTGAAAATAAATTATGTAATTAACAAATTAACGGGATATGTGCGCTAAGCAAAAAAATTAAATACGCGTTACCTTAATAGATTCGTTTTTAACATTTTGTATTTTGCACCCACAATTGAGTAAATCTAGAGATCAGTTGAAAATCAGGATTGTCAATTAATTACAAGCCTGGGAAGAAGGTAGGTAAAAATGCACTGTGCATTAATAATTAATAATAACCATTTGTGCTTATTAGTGGTAAGACCCTTCAATGTAGAAATTACACAGAAAACTATACAGATGGCCAAATCATAGACGACAATTCGATAACTGCGTAAGATATTTCCACAAGAGTTGGCACATCCTGCTTCTGTGAACAATTTCATGAACAATTATAGTAAAAGAATAAACAACTCGACACTTGCATACTAAATGCACGTTCAGAAGTTATGTACTGTATCTGAGATACGTTTTTGTAGCCGAAAATGAAAATCGTTACTACTAAAATAGTGGAATGATTAGTTTGACAAAATACATACTACTTATCTCATAAGAAGCAATATTTTACAGTTAAAAAAAATAATTAAAATAGCTACCAATGCCGAAATCAATTTGATTGGTTAATGCCTAAGCATACTTATGTGTGTGTGTGATATGTTACGTATACAATACATTCTGGTCGGATAACTGTTCTACAAAACAACTAATTACTTTTCCAAGTAAAAGCATTTCTAATCAATAGGAAAACTTGGAAAAATCGAATCAACCCCAATCGGGCAAGGTTCAAAAGATGAAGCAATTTTAGTAATGGGTAGCACTTTTGACATCGTATTCCTCATCTCTCGTACAAGCACACTAGTATCGATGTTGACAAAGCTGAACAAATCAAAAGATTTTCTATCGATCCCACTTAACCGCTACATTAAGGTTATATCTACATGTTCAGCTTGTTATTTGCCAATTGCAATCTCTCGGGTGGGGGTTGATCGTGGCATTATAAACACCCTTCTGCATTGTCTGCATATCAACCGTGATTTTTAATTAATAGAATTAATTTTTGCTAACTAAATACCTGCATTATTATCCCAGTATTGTCTTTTGGTGGTGATTTTTGCATGAGCACTCGTGTATCAGTATTTGTTTTATGAGACTGTGAAAAATTCAAAAGTTGGATGCTAAAATAGGTGCAGTGCGTATGTGCGTTTTATTATTGTTGTCTGGTCTTGCACGTGTATGATCTTTTTGGACTGTGATTTGCCAAGACATAAAAGCGTTATTTCTGCAGCACACAAAGTAACTTATTAATATCAGTTCGATAAAATAATAAGTGCTTTTTTTCATACAATGAATTTAATTTTTCGACTGTCGAAACTACATTTTAATTCACGATAATGTGTTCAAAAAATGAACATGTATCACACTGGATGTAATTTCATTCAGCTTCTTTCATTTATTATTCAAGACAAATAACAGGCAAAAATTTAAAGAATGTAGCAATTTTTTTCTGTAATATTCTTGTGGAATCGGTAATTATGAAAATTATTTATGGGTGCATAATAATACCTTTAGGTAATACTTTTTGTGATTTTTAATATAAAATTCTGAATTTTCTTTTCGAAATCATTTTCGGAGTTTTTTCCCCAAAAACGAAAGAATTTCACAATGTTGAAAACGGAAAGTTTTTATTATAGCGTTGAAAATACTATTACATCTGACGCGTATGCTTAGTTGTCTGAATATCATTTGCTTACAGGTATGGGCTTCTCAAATATTGTATACAGTACCTTGTCAGGTTTCGAATAGTTTAATCATTCATAGTTCTAGGGATTTACATGTTTACCGATCTTCCACGAAAACTGTCCATGTCTTTTAAATGTAATGCGAGAAATCGCCAAGCAGTTCTTCGAGAAAACCATTGTACGAGTACTGATATATAGCTTTGAAGGTGACTTAAGAAGGGATGTATATATATGTGTGCGATTTTAAACCAAAACGGACGAATGATGTATTAAACTTCCGACAATATTTAAATTTGCTATTGTGGCAAACATACAGTTCCTCGAATCCTATAAAAAATGTGATATTATAAATCATTAATATTTTTCGTTTTTTGTGAAAATAAATATGACATGGATTGCTATTGGGTGACATTGAAAGTATTCAATGGGTGTTACATCCAACGCTATCAATCCAATCATTCGGTTATTGTATACTAGTATTCTAAAATATGGCCAAAGTAAACGGTAAACAGCTAAACAGTTTATATAACTTCACACTAGAAAGAGAACAACCTTTATTTCAGCCGTTGACTGTTTGGAACAAGTCACCACTTTCTGTACTAACGACAGTAAACATTCAGGGCAAAACTCTTGTTCAATGATTCGTGGACGGTGAGTTGGGTCTTGTGGGTACTCAATACAGTCCCATCAAAAATGCACACGTGACGTTACATTAAGGTTCTATGCTGCTTTCGAACGCGGTAGGGGATTTCAGGCCAACCCAATGCACCATTGAATATTAGAACACGATTAGAAAAAAACACCAAAAAAACAAAAAAAACACAAGAATACCATATAAACTTCGAGCTATATACTACTATCCACAACATTTTATGAAGACTGTCTACTAACATGTTGATGAACATATCTTCAATGAATATCATCTTACTCAATAAATAAGACATAGATAGTGTGGCTGCTTGAAATGCATGACACAATAACAGCAATCAGTGATGTAGAGTAAAACACGGTGATTAAAATTAAATGTCCGTATCTAGTTTGTATACAAATATATGACTTGTTTGAGAGCTGCAACGCGGCCTCCAATCATACGCTATACACATTCGCTTCTGTTTCGGTTGTTTAAGATCATGAACAAATAAATCTCAACGAATATATGAATATCTGCTACATGTTTGACTTTCTTAGGTAAACAACATACAATAGAAGACCAGAAATTGTCAAAGAACAGTTTTATGTGGTACACTGTGATGGGGTACATATACTTGTTCGTGATCTTTGTTTATATGTTCGTAAACGTGCCTCTAATTTCGTTTCGATTCAATCTATTACACCAAGGGTTCTGTGGAAAACGACTAGCTTTAAAAATTGTTAAGATTTAGTCAGCTTGTGGTTAAATTTCTAAGAATTTCTTAAGCGTATAGTTGATGAAGATATACAATCTGGCCCACTGGGAGTCAATATTAGTAACATTTCATATGATTTCATATATAAATGTTCACCATATATGTAATTGGTGCTTTAATTTCGTAGCACCTTCGAACTTGATTTATACTAAAAATGTCAGTCAATTGGGTAACATATTTAGAGATCAATAATTACATTTAATTTGAACGTACTAAACGAGTTTTTCGCCAACACTCAGTATAAATGTTCACATGATACTCTCTCATACGAGAAGCATACATGCTTTGTTGTTAATTATGAATCAAGCAGTATTTGGCACCCACTGTTTCAAGTATATGTCCATATGAAATACTAACAATACTCCGATATCATTTTAATATAATTACAACAAAATAAACAAATCTTTTTATGTAGGAAAGTGGGTACCCACGACCGCATATAACCCCCTAAGAAGACACACAGATCTGTAATCATATAGATAAAAGAAGCGTCGAATTACAGAATTCATGCGATCCATGTTTTATTATAATTATTTCCAAATGTTTCTAGGAACAGATCCAGAAATGTATTCACAGTATCTAGTATTCGCATTCAGTAAAACATGCGTCTTTTTAGTAATACTCGGCATCATTTTTTTTTTCGAAATATTTTTATATCGGTAACATTGTTGATTTAGGTGTTCATCAAAGAGCGGCGATTAGTAAGAGTATTTTCAATTGTTCAATAGGTAAACAGTATATGTTTATTGTAGGTCGTTTCTGCGTGAATGTAGCAGACTTCGCCAGGCGCAAAATACAAAAGATACATTTTCAATTTTGCTTTTACTGCATTTCTATTTCAGTTGGATCGACTATAAAAAGAATACGCCCGGTAAAATTAAATTGGGTTTTAGAGGATCGTATGGCAGAACGAATACAAATGAAATAGTCGCCGTAAGTGGTACTGGATTTAATGCCAAATCAATTTAATGTGAAGTATATTGATAACCCGCAATATAAGGTTCATGTGATACATTTCAATAAAATCGGGCAATTCGTAAACATGTTTTAGTTTATGTCTAAACTGTACTGAAAAATACATCGGGTTGACCAAATTGAAATCGACATACAGATGCAACCATTGTATAAATTTAACGCATTTGCAGACATGTACACACACTAATATTCTTACTCCTCCAAGTTTTAGAATTGCTTTCTTAAATGATAATACCACTCCTTCTGTACATCAAGGCGGTCTTCGGGGCTTGTAATGGGACTAATTAGTATGTTTACATGATAAAGTGTAGTTTAATTTTTCTTTTTCTATTGATACACCGTTTTTTTATATCTGTGGCCCATTGATCTCACCAGATGGATTGCCATCGGTTAGAAGAAATACAATAAAAGATGAAACTCGGCATGTTGTATGATTTCCCAATATGCAATTGATCTTCCATAAATTAAGAACAAAAAATCCACTAGCAGCGTATTTCCTAAATAAACCGGAATTGCTCTGAGGCGCCGTAGCGACGAATACCGAGAATACCAGAATGATATTGCGTTCGGCGATTTTTTATCAACAGTTCGAATTTATTTTTTGTCGCTGGGTAACTAATATGCCAATCCGAACTGTTCTGTTAGATGGCTCATGATATCAATAAACTGACAAACCTCTCTGTTTCGAACAGTACACCGATTTTAGGAGGGCGGGAACTGTTAGGCATAGTATAAAATGAAATTTAAATAACTATGACGTACCTCCGACGTAGATGTGTATTTCAAGATAAACCAATAGAGCCACAACAACATACTTTGTCTTCATCGTTAATACTGACTTGTCCTGGTATGTTGAATATGTTATTGAAAACTCCTGTGAATTGTAAAACATAATACTTGTATGAGAAAATCGCAGCCGCAATATAAAATATAATGTAGTATAATACATTGCAATAATCGTCTACACGATTCGCTGATACTATGTGCCAAATGGTTATGGGTGGTCGTCGTGCCGCGCATGTGCGGAATATGCGTCCCATAATAACAACGATTGTGACCTTACTTATTGCGCGTACAGAAGGTTTAACTCTACGTATTTATGAAAAACATTGCTTGACACTAAAGAGTCAAAGTCGGCATTTAGTGCAAATGGCGGACAGATTATAACTCGCATTCATGGTTGCCAGCGCACTGGATTGTGGGTAAATCATTGTTTATCAACACAAATCTTGTTATCGTCGCTTGGGACTCAATTCCCGCGTGAGCGCAGCAGGTGACGACCCTCTCGTTTCAAACGGCGCAGATTATTCTGCAGCCAAAATATACACTCTCTGGTTTTGAGCACAGACAAAACAACAACAAAGAATACTGTCGAAACAAATTAGTTGTTCTCTTGGGATATTAAAATAAACGAATAACTCAAAACACCCACTACTCGACAAACGTCGTCGCTACATATTGCATTGTCAAAATCTCTATAGCGTAACGAGAGTATCTGGCACATAAAAGTGCGACACCAATTTATAAGACGACGAAATCCAATTTTGATGAAAATAATCAACGTTTGACAACGAGAGTGTGCTTTTAATATTTGAATGAATATAAACTATAGAAATATGGGGATACTGCGAGTATTCGAACGACTAACTTCTAATACATTTGCAGCACGTCTACAACACTAGAGAATTAGTTTACAGCGACAACAACTGTATGTGTAATTCAGATGACATTCCCCGGGAGCATTGACTCACTGAACTGTCTCGTAACAAACATGACGAAAACTACTTCTTTAGAATTTAAAACGTGCATTCTATCAATCAAATTCTATCCATCATTTAAGTTAACCGTGGATATGTTTTTCACGTGAAAAAAAAACATCGTAATGGCCGAGAAATTATTTGAGCAAATGCACACTATAATTTTAAAATCTGGTAAATTTATTGAACTCCACTCTGCATAAGATTGGAGTGTGTCCGATAAATAACATTCCCAGTAACTATAAACTATGTCTTAAATGTTATCACTCATTTAATTGGAAGTACAGTGAAATGCTTTACCTGTTTTATATTATATTACACTGTTATTAGCCCCCCCCCCCCCAAATCATGAGGGACGATATCTGTAATTATCGTTCCCAAGTGGCAGTTATTTTGGCTGAGACCAAAAACAGCCACTTGGGGTCGGTGGGGATAACGAATCGTAATATTGGCCAAAGCCAAGAACAATAACTATTTTATTATCCCAAAGGGAAACAACGAGGTAGTAAGCGAGGTAAAACTGTCAGCAAAAAAACAAACGTTCTAAGTTGAAATCAGAATTATTCATCAGTGCAAACACGCTTCGGAAAGTGCAACTTATTTTGCTATCGTCTGCAACAATCTGTGTGTCCCGGATGTCATGACATCAGTGGCCAGTAACACACAAAATTATTATTAGTTATTTGCAAGAAATACGCTGGGAGAGGCCAATATTATGTGACTGCTTTTGCTCAATAACATTGACTGTTTCATACTTGAGGAATAATAATATTTATCCTTGCAGTTCAGTGTAATAAATTTGTGTAATAATGGTCTATATACTACGTAATATAAATACCGGTAATCTGATTTGTCCATGGACACAGATCGGCCATTTGACATCATGGGTAACTGTTGGTGAATAAGCTAATATCTCAAAATATTGGTGGTTTTACAAAATATAACTTGATTTATTAACAATTAATTCGAATATTTCTGGTAGTTTCAGACATGTGATATAAAGCCGCATACATGACGTCATTTCAAATTCTCCCAACCTTTATTTCTCCACGCACATACATTTGTTTCACCCATGTCTAGTGACGAATTGTCACGGACTGTGACACGGCAACTGTTTGAAAGCACACACAAATTAGTAATTACGTAATCAATACATCTCCTAAACCAGAAATAACTATATTTCTTAATACCAATAGGATAAACTAACGGTAATCTACGTTAACGCACACCGATCGATTTTGCAAATGAGCCAGAACGCTCGATGATGTCTTGAATGCTGACGCGCCCACAAACGATCTCTAAGTTAGTTTTCAGCCTTTAGCAGCTGCGAAATAAATACATGGGATAAACCGGATATCAAATTCTCAACCCTCCATTATGAGATGTGTTGAACTCGTGTAGTAATTTTCATTTGTTTCGAACCGTTTTAACTCTTTTAATACTATTAATGATATTATGGGGTTACCCTCTTCATATAATGTTGCTGCCTATAGCTGATGTATTGCACAATGTAGATTGAAGTAAAACATCATGCTGGCGATTAGTGTTTTTTTTTTTACAATAACGGCCTTAATCAATAATCAAGAAACACAGCTCATAACTTTTCTAAACTACAGTTCAAGCCGAGAAAACATGTGGTTTAATTAGGTTGAATGAATTGATATCTGTGTTAAAGTCAATAACGTATAACATTGTATATATATTTTTAAATAAAAAAACAACAACAATGAGATTGCGAATCAATAGTTCTTGTGTATGCGACTTTACTTTGACTTGACTTAAAACTACCGAACATTGTAGAGTATTTTAAATAACAAAACCCTAATGTTATAGATATATGTAATGTTGACATATTTGTCGTTATGTCAATAGTTAACACTAAACAGACATATTGATTACAAAGACAAATTAGATTGGGGGAGTGATATCGAAACTATTTAATTAGAATAAATCAATGGAATATTTGTTATATAGCTGAATACATTGATATCTGCTTTCCCGCCCATAACGTACATGTCACATATATAGTTTATAAAAAAAATTACACCCAACGAATACATTTTGTTTAGAACAAAAAAATCATTGCAAAGTTACGAGTTTGACCCGTACAAGGTGATTAGTGACTTTTTTTCAAAAACGTACTCACTGATACGGGTTAAAGAAATACCCTTAGTCGAGATAAATTTAAATATACTCACAGTTTTAGAGACACATTCATTGTTTGTTCAATACACTTCAAATATCGATCGTTGTGTTTAAAAATGATAATCGATACGTGTTGTGTATGCGTATTCATTTTGACTTAAATCGCTACAGTCGTTGCACCGTGGTGCTCGATACAGGACCCACAACGACGTATACAACTAGTGTAAAATACATTGTTTATTCACATGATTGTGCTGGACTTCTGAGCGCTTTACCTTGAAACTAGCGAATATTGTATAAATTATAAATGTTAATAAATATATAAATGTGTCTGCTGGTATGTTAATTGTTGACAGTTCTATTGAAGACCAATTAAATTGAATTAACAGTGTGCTGTCGAAAATTTACAACAACGATATCCCGAATAAAGTACACGATGTGTGTATTAATTCTGATA